ATTATGCACCACACATCTAAACTGGCTATGCATTGTCACATCTCTGTACTTGTACTGTCTTCCTTCTGCCTGAACTAATTTTATTCTACTTCAATCTGTGGAATGGAGCAAGAAGTCAGCTCTTAGTCACGTCCCCTCTAAGACCGTCGCCTGATTTTCCCAGACCAAATTACATTGTGGTCCTCCTCCCCCATAGCATTTTGAATTGGTATTAATAGCTATTGGAGTATAAATACTTATCTGCATTTCTAGCCTGTACTGTGAGTGCAGGTGCCTTTTTTCATTTATATCTGTATTTCAACTTAATAATTAACACACAAAGATACTGAATAAATACATTGCCTACATAAATTAATGGAAGACATCAGTGATTTGCCAGAGACTTTATTCATGGAAGTGCCTTTAGCAACCCTATTGGCCTAGCTTTAGTCAATGACTTGAACATAAGAAAACAAACACTTGAGGAAGTTATTTGTGTCTTCTGGCAGAATTACTATTGGAGATAGTTGGTCATAACATTATCCAACATCCTTTTAAAAAAAGGAGACTTAATCATTCTTCAAAATATATTCAAGGAAAGAAAAATGTGGTCTACATTAGCCATTTGTTGCACTAAGGAGTTTGTCTGGCATACCTGTTTGCTTCTTTCCTAGGGAACTCACTCATTGCTTCCTAAGGCAGCCATTCCATGTGGGACCAGCTCTGTTAGAAAGTTCTTTTATATTAAACTCGAAAAATCTGATTCTCTGTGACCCTCTGCATTTGCATCCTTCGCTCTGTCCCAGGCTTGTCTTTTGAGAGCCTCTGCAGAAGATTGAGGCAGAGAAACCCTCTTCCATAACTTTCAACTTTTACCATTTGGTCTGGACCTTCATCGCCACATTAATTCTTTGTCTTCAAATGTCCAGGGCCTTTGCCCTCCAATGTTTCCTGCACATGCTGTTTCTTCTGTCTGGAATGTCTCCTATACCCACCTTTTAATCTGTCTGGAAAACTTCCATTTATTTTTCAGGGTCCATGGTAATTTGCTAATTTCCTTCATTCATGCAACAATTATTGAGGTGGCCAGTGTGCAGGGCACATTTGCTAAGTGCTAGGGTGACACAGAGGAACAAGATAGACACTTGATGTCTATAGTATGGGTTCTCTTGACAACCCAAAAATAAGTGACTGAGGGCAAGGATCTTAATCAATGGAAGTTTATTAGCAAAAGTTTGGAGAACTTGCCCAGGAAAAACACAAGCCACAGATATATCTTGACTGTTCACTCCATACACACAACACAAAATAAGCTTGGGAAACTCAGCAATTTAAAGGGGGGAGAGGGCACACAGAAAGAAAAAGGAATGGGAGTGGTGAGGCAAATGGTTTACATTCTTGTGAAAGCCCAGGAATCCTGTATTTGTATAAGATAAGGTTGAATATTGAAGAGAAAAAGGGGGTGAAGGAAAAAAAAAATAAATTATGGTTACAATGACCCCTTGGTGGGGGAAAGATGATTGAATCTTTGTCTCTGGTTCTTGCACCTGGAAGATAAAGCTGTAATCAACATTATTAAGTGTGGAGTTAGAACGATTTTAGTTTTAGGAGGTAGATTTAGCATGTAGACCATAAAGTTACAATTTCTGCACTCTTGTTAGGGAGGCAAACAAGGATTGCCTTATGAATGACTGTGGGGGCAGTCCCTTATAGTTACTGGGGCCTTTTTACCTTTTCTGTGGCATGGTGGCTAATGTGTAAATGTGAAGTAACAGTTATTTCAAATTTGGAAGGGGGATGTTGCATGAACTGGGGTTCCTCAGGTTGACTTTCCTTTGCATTAGGGGTGGTCCTGAGATTTCATTTGCTTATGCTTTGAAGCCTTATTTGATGGTTCCTTGGAATTAGCCCTTCTCCTCTCTTCCACATCGGTTTCTCCCATCAAGAAAACACTTATTACATTGTATTAATTATTATTTTTAATTTATTTTAATTGATTTAACTTATTTTTTATCAAGAGGACGTAAACAAATGGAAAATACATTGTATTTGATACAGGTTTTTGTGTCACATCCTCTAAATAATGAGTTTTACCTGAGAGCAACAAAACACTGTTTAATCTTAGTATCTTTCCCTTGCCTTCACGACAGCTTGTACCATATTAATTTAGCTGCTAATAAAGGTTTGTGGACATAATATCCTTGGTTCCTTCCAAATAGTCCTTGATGATGAGTTGTGTGTTAACTAAAAGGCCTCCTCCTGGGCTGCAGGTTGCTTTAATTAGCATATTGAGGAAAGGACCAAAAAGATCAGTGGCAGGAAATGCTTCTTAGTCTTAGTCCACTGAATTCTTGTCAATAAAGACTCCTAAGAAGATTCACACAAGACAGTTTAATATAAGAAAACTTATATAATAGAGACCCTACACC